ACAAGCATCGCATGTATACGATCTACTGGCAGTCTCTAAAGCCTAATTACAAACGAAAATAAGTATCGTAGTTGATTGCTACAGCAAATACAACTTTGTTTCATCTAAAATCCCACCACGGAATCCTTGAAATTCACACAAGCCATGTCACCCAAGGGCACTCGTGGCACTCGCTGCTGGGTCATGGTTCGAGTCCTGCTGGTGTGTTGACGAGACCTGGGCGAGGTCGAAACTACAGTCCACTTCAGCCTATGCTAAATTCAACAGAAACGTATGATCTACTCATACCATTGTGGTAAAATTTAATTACCGTTGCCCTTATCGCCTTAAAAACGAGATAGGGTGGACACATCTTTTATGATGATACATAGAAAATGTATCCTCTAAAGCTCACCTTTTTAAAGCTAGTCCTCTGTTGGCCTTCAAATTCATATATATCTACTCATTAATATCCCTATGATTTTCATTTGCGAATTCCCGCTTATTCATAGTATATTGGTTATATCTAAATATCTCTATCGTAACCACATTTATTAAAGTTCAATTTTGATCGTTACTTCAATATTTGTACTAATTCTTACGTATTTACGAATATTTTACTTATAGCCATATTCATATATCCATATCCATGCTCTCATCATTCCTTGGAATCTAGTCATACAATCTGTTTACAACTTGTTTATCTCTCCTCGTGTAGTTCCTCATCCCTGTCCCACCAATATCATTTATTTATTCAACTTGATATTCACTTTCATGTCTTTCCAATCAATCGGCGTCCTTTATGTACAGCAATGTATAAGCCTGTCACAAAGGCTTTAGTGTTTGCCTATTTACTGAACTTATTCCAACCGTTTCCTTTAACTGTTTGCTTTGTCCTCTAACACAGAATATAAAATCTCCGGTTACCCCCCATTTGGCTTACTGGAACCTGGTCATCTAACGTCTTCACCCAGTCGACAAATAGCAATTTAGCTTTGTCCAGTAGTCATAATTGTCAAAAGTCTTCATGCATTTCATAGCCGCATACATTCTTCTTGCACATGATAGCAGCGAGAAATTCATACATTCTGCACATGTTCCTGAACTTCGTATTAATTGCCTATTGCAGTCACTACAGCTGCAGCTTAGTTTTTACTCTTTTCATTGCATTATTGAAATTGAACTATTTTTAAGTCAAGTTAAAAAACAAATCAAGACTTTGACAATTGATCTGGCTTCAAGTAGCCCAAAAAATAATTTAGGTTTCATACAAAGAGGCATATTTCTTCCTCAATGCAGATATATTCTATTGAAAAATAAATTTTTTGTGAAAAGTTGGCTAGCCACTTTCATTTCGTTTTTTACCGGATCCCCTTTTACAGGTCGCTTCGGATACTTACCGAATGGATTTGAATCAAGAGGAGAAATCAGCGCGACTGGAATCTCTTTGTCTCTCTACTCCGGGCTCTTTGCTTACAACGGCTGGTATGAAATGTCTTTAGAAAAAAGACGAAATTTATTCACAACTCCTTAATTCACACAAGCCGGAGCAGGCCTTGCC